TTCAATAAGAATGAATGAGAAATGTTGAATGAGGAATTTCTTCTCTATGAATGAGGACTGCAATGAGTTTGAAATGCAGTACCATTGTTACCTGGAAAAACCAGGCATATAGGAAAGGGTAGGAAAGAACCTGAGAAAGGCCAGGTTCCAAGGACAACCACAGGAGCTTGTTTCTGTCTACAAATATATTACTCATATCGGAACAGTGAGAACCCTTCCAGGAAGCCATGACTTTATCTGAGATCAATCCAGTCTAGAGCAACTTAAAACACACCATAATTACCCAAACTCCATTTCATACCCTGGAATCGTATCTCTTATCACTCTAGCTCTGGTTCCAGGATAATGGCACAAATCCCCTCCAGTCCATCTTTCATTCATCTATAAATTCTGGACAAATACCAAAAACCCCACAACTAGCCACAGATACCAAAGAGTGCATGGGAGACAAAACTTGAACAAGTGGCCAGTAAAGGGAATAAGGTTTCCAGGTTTGTTTCTTTATTTTTGTGCCTTTTGTTTCTGCAACAGTTCTTTCAGTTGTGGGGCTGTCCCCACACCAGAAAGTGTTTAGGATCCCTGGCTTCTTCCCACCCTGATAAGTTGTGACAAACAGAAATGCTCCCACATATTTCCAGGCCCCACCCAGAACCAGTTTCCTAGCATCACTTGGGGTCTGTGGGTAGCCAAGGGCCCTGGCTCAACACACACCCCACCAAACTCTGTCCTCGGCGGGCTCTGCTCCAGTGCTGTTCTGCCATCGGGTCACCAGACTGCTTTAGTTGAAATCATTTCATAGGATGTTTTCCTTTGGGTTCTTCTGAGAACACAGACTGAGATTTGCATGGGGACTGGGAAGGGCCCTCAGGAACACCACCTCTGAGGGCATGATGGCAGGTACTCAGGGCAGAGGGAGAAATTGGACTGCAATGGAAGAGCAATAAAACCCACAAGTGATCAAACAGGGAGCTAAGGAGCTGAGCTGCCCTTCCAGTTGCTTTAACTGGAGGCAGTTTTGCTGCCAGAGTTGGAAGGCAGGGCATCAAGTGTGCAACCGCAGATGAAGGACACGCCACCTGAACTGCTACATGTTTGGTTTGTTCCTGGATTTGCTTCTTTGATGAAATGATGGCAAAAGGAAGATGGAGGAGTATTGGTCTCAGCCATTCAGGCTGCTATCACAAGACAGCACAGACCGTGTGGCTTATGAACAACAGACACTTCTCACAGTTCAGAGGCCGGGAAGTCCAAGATAATGCCACCAGGATTTCGTGTCCAGAGAGAATCCCCTTCCTTCCTGGCCTTCTCACTGTGACCTCACACAGCACAAGTGACAAGGGAGCTCAAGGCAGCTCGGACAAGGGCACTGGTCCCAGTCATCACCTCCCACAGCTCAGGCCCCAGCATCATCACCATGGGGCTGAAGATTTCAACATATGAATTTCTGGGGGACACAAACATTCAGCCTATGGCACCACACTTCTTCCCTACAATTTCATTGTGTGAGGCGGGGGGACGAGGTGGAGTGGGAAATGTGGGGAGAACAACTGCAGTGTTAACTCACTAATTTGAACAGGTTCATTAGCTGTCATTTTTAAGTAAATTTTTCATGTTTAGAAATTGTAATCCCCATCTTACAGATGAGGAAATTAAGGATCAGAGATTATGTTAATGATGTGTAAACTCTCAGTTATTAGAAGAGCCTATTACTTTAATTCTCACTCTTTCCACCAGAGCCATCTTATATATTTTCATACTATGCAAGGGATTAACTTTCAGTGGTGAACCAAAATATTAAGTATTAAACATTAAATCTTCACTTTTTCCTTTTGTGTTCAAGCTCTCTAGGGCTGGCTCAATGTATTTCTTTATCAGTTGAGCACCTATGTGAGGAAGAGAGACATTTCAACCATACTTCAGAAAATACATGGACACAAAAACACTTCCTATCTCAGATAGAATCCAATAAAATTAGTTGATAATAGCAAAAATAAATAAATAAAAAAGGACACTAAATGCAAACCTCAGAGAATGTGCCTAAGACTTTTTTTTTTTTTTTTAAGATTTTATTTATTTATTCATGAGAGACAGATTGAGAGAGAGAGGCAGAGGGAGAAGCAGGCTCCCAAGGAGCAGGGAGCCCGATGCGGGACTCGATCACAGGACCCTGGGATCATGACCTGAGCCGAAGGCAGATGCCCAACCATCTGAGCCACCCAGGCGCCCACTAAGACTCTCCTTTTAATGTCATTTTTCAAAGACCTTAGCATCAATATTTACATTTTAAAACAAACACTATTGGTAACAGATCCTAATGGCTAAGGGCCATTTTAAGCAATAGAGATGAATCAGTCTGACCTTTAAAATAAAACTTAAATGTCAGAAGATACATCCAAATATCAAGAAGTTATTTTAAAAATATTATCCCAAAAGTCTAGGTGGAAAATGTTCTAGATCCATACTTTCTAGACAGAGTGAGTTCCACAAGAATCAATCTATTAAAGATACCACCAAATTTGGTGTATAATTCATTTTACTAAAGAGTATATCACATCTAAGTATGTTTGGATTGGTATGGTCAAAGCTATACCCTATTTTTTTTAAGATTTTATTTATTTATTTGAGAGAGAGAGAGAGAGAGCACAAGCAGTGGGGAGGGGCAGAGGCAGAGGGAGGAAGCAGACTCTCCGCTGAGCAGGGAGCCTGATGTGGGGCTTGATCCCAGGACCCTGGGATGATGACCTGAGCCAAAGGCTGATGCTTAACCGACTGAGCCACCCAGGTGCCCAGCTATAACCCATTTTTTGATGTCTGAGGCATGTAGCAGTAACACATAGTCTAGTAATTTCCAGGCCCTTAATTGCTTTAGCTTAAGTATCTTCTTGAAGCTGGTATGGTTCATTCTCTTTGTCTTCTGAGCATCTTCGTTTACATAAAAGAGCCCCCCTCCACATGGTTCCACCTCCAGGCCTTTCTTGGTATTCTTAGGATGGAGACCAGAGAACCCTGAAAGCCTTATGGAATTATCAAGGACTTTGGTAAGGTCAGTGAAGCACTGATATTGGTTGCAAAATTTAAGGAGGCACCAAAAACTCAGTTATTAAGATAAATAATATTTAATGCAGTATTTTAAAAAAAATAAAGATTAATGTAAAATCCAAAATAAATAAAATATCCAAATTTTAAGTAATTACTGATTTTTCCTTTTACCTCAGGTGCCAAAATGGCTCACACAGCAGTTATTTAAAATTTTGTTTTGATATCCCTTAAATATTCTTGAACCTTTTCCAGCATTTTTCCATTTTTATTAATGGAAGGTGCACTAAATTGTGTATTCCCAACCTACCTCACCCATTTTCTTTCCAAGTCCTTTGCCTAACAAAAGTGAAATGAAACAGAAGGCTATCAACTTCATAATATATCAGCATTCTGCATCTCTTACTCTGACATAGGTCCTAAAGCAGCAAAGAACCTAATGTTGTTCCCATTTATATATTTATATGGACTCATACTCCATGTATCATTTGTGAAAACCTTTCCCTATCACGTTGGATCTCAATGGTCTCTCTAAAATTACTCTCTACAGTTCTGGAAGTGTCAACCCATTTTAATATATCATACAATGTCTACCTTTGCTGCCTGATATGTATGTTCTCTGAAAGACAAACACTGAGCTACTTGAGGTAGTTTACTACTTTGTGTTGTAACACAAACAATGGGCTAGCACATAAATATTGAAAACCCACAGTCTCCTTTCTCCTAGAATCCAAGAATGCATCTCTTTGCTTTTTGGCACATACATCTTTGGAGTTTGTGACAGTATAATCAATGAACTCATCCTGTGCATCCATAAGAGATGTTATTCATCACTCTTCCTGGTCTTACTTCAACTAGGAAATGTTCATGTAACCTTTTAGATGTGTTTGCCTTAGATCAGTATTTATCCATCTTTTTCCTAAGGCACCCCTGCTGGCAGAAGAGTACGAAGTAATGCAGAATCCAGAAGCATTATGCCAAGCTGCAGATGGCAAACAGAACATTTAACTGTTATGTTTAACCTTTAAAATGCATGACAATTTTTCATTCTATTCCGTAATTCACTCATTCAACAAATATTAAATGCCTATTCATTGCCAGACATTGTCACAGGGATACAGCAAAGAATACACATACTTGTATTTGTTTTTAATCTTATATTTTATGCAATTTAGTGTAAGTAGAGAAACAAAAGCAAAAATTATCCCAAATCCAAGTGCAAAACTGATAATCTGAGATGGCTAATTATTGCTTCAAATACCACCAGTCATGCTTTTGCACATCCTGGGATTATGTGTGCTCCAGTTTGAGAAGCAGAGTCTTTGGTTAGCTCCCAAAAAACAAAAGAAATATTATTATTTACTCCAGATGAAAATACTTGGGAGTATCATTAGAACTAACTCTTTGCCTTCATTTCCATACATCAAGTTCTGCCTACATTCTAAAATGACAAAAGCAGAATCTACTTCAATACCTACAGAAAATGTAAAAAACTTATACTTTAAAAAAATATCATGTGTGAGGAGGAGGTGGAATCAGTCTTGACACTTTAAGGTCCAATCTTCATTGACCTCACCACTGCATTGTCCATCATTGCATGTCTCACCCTTAATTAAGGTGCTCTTGAGTTCTTAATGCAGCTGCTGATCAGCTTCAGAAAGGATCTCTCCTTAGAAAAAGTTAATTTTCACACAAAAGAAACTTTCAGACTTGTCCCTGCAGAGATCTGCTGAACACTCCTGGTGTTCCCTTTTATTGGTCAGAACCAAAGCTAGTGAAAAAGTATTACATTCCTCAATGATAGTTTTGTCTTAAATAGTTTGATTTTAGCCATAGGTCTAACTCCAAAAATAAACATGGAATTGATCTGCTTGTGCTTGTGGATATGTAGTATATGTACTTTTGAAAGGAGGCAGTGATTTGCAATAGCACAAGTAATTTCCTATTAGGATTAAGATTCAATTCTCCAACTGCAGTGACTGGATAACTTGCATGAAGCCTGGCTCTCCTACCTGAAGTCCCCAAGTCAATCATTCCAAATTATTACAAAAAAGGTCTCATATGTGCATTAATGTGGATATGTGTTCTCTTGCAGACAATGTACAACCTCAAGAATTCAGATCTTTTCAGACTGGCTAAATTAGAAAAGTAAGGGAACATCACAAATATACATATATTTCACAACTATAGGATAAGGAGTATGCAATGGAATAACCAGTGTCAACTGGCATGAGATTTCACTGTTTTAAAATTAAGATTAAGGTCAGTGTTTAATAACCTAAACTGAGAAAAGCCTAGGAGTGCACACCTTTTAATAACGCCACAGAGGATGCTGATTCAAATACTACTATAAGACTAAAGTCCACTTTAATCCTGAATATAATTTAGGTTTCTGGTTTTGTAAAGACGTAAATTTATCATGCCCCAAGGCTAGAATTCAGAAGGTTTAATGTTCTCTTCACCTCTGTCTTCTGGTATTTTATATTAATGATGGCACTCAGAAGCATAAAGCCATCACTATCTCCAGCACAGGAATTCCAGGTTATTACAATTCCTTGTATATGAACACACATCTGTGCACAGCTGCATTCTATCTTCAAGTCTTAGTGTTACAGCCTGGGTCTCTCTCTAACACTAAACGATTTTAAATATATGACCTTATTCCTACCAATAAGAGGAACTGGACATTTTATATTTGAAACTTTAAGGTCAGTTTATTAAGTTCAATGATGAAAGCTATCAGAAGAATATTCTCCTGAAAATTATTTTTTCTTAGAAAAAAAGAAAGAAAAATCCACACACCAGCACAGCCACAGATGCTGTGGCAGTCGCCCCTCTGTGCAGACGGGGACGGCCCATTAGTCGGTCAGATCACTGTCCGGGTCAGCAGGGTTACAGTCGGGGTCGTCCTCATCGTCGTCTAGCTCCACGTCATCCATTTCTTGGAACAGAGATTCATCTACCTCCACACTGTTTCCAGCTGCAAAAGACAAAAGATTTCACCTTCAGTCTCATATTCAGGAGTAAAAGACACAACTCACTGGCAGCACCAAACACAAACTTCCAAATGTGCAAGGGAGGTGCCAGTGATGAAATCCTAAACTACTACTGCAAATCACAGCAACAACAATCTGCAGTGGTCAGCAGAGACACACATTTTAAGAGCAACTTCATGCTTCCAGCTTAAAAAAAAAAAAATCCAGTTATTAAAAAAAACTTTCCTAGAATGACTTATTTATGATGTGGCATGTTATAAGTTGAAGATGATGGTATATCCTGGTTAAACAAAGTTGATTATCACCGACCATGGGGCCCGTACCAGGAGTCTTCCAGCACTGGCAGATAGGTACATCATTAAAGCTCAACTATACTTGTTATTTAATTGATAGATAGAACTTGATCTTCACTCTCACTTAGTTCCCCTTATAACCAATGGTATGCCTTTCTCAAATTCCAAATATCTGAGCCCTATAGGAAGCAATCCCTCGGCCTTGCATCAAATATCTTTACTCTTCAGTTTGTCTGAAGTACATAAAGGTTGGGAGAGTACAGTACTCTTAAATCACCAAAAATTGTTCATCTTCCTTTCCTGGCAGACTCCAGCCCACTGACATTCAATTCAATGAGAATGAGTCTTGCTTCATGCCTATGAGCAGTTCAGTAATAAAATACACCTTTGCTCAGTCCAGGCCAAAGAACAACTCACTGTGTCTGGGAGAGACAGGCAAGTTCCCAAAACAGATGACATCTAAAATATCTTTGCAATAAATTTTAATCCAGCAAGAAGAAAAGGGAGCAGGATGAAGCAATTACAGGTAGAGGTATATGCAAAGGGAGAAAGAAAAAATAAGACTTTGAATACTTCTAACTTGAACACAAGATTCTTCAAGAAAAATATCTGGAGATATCATAGATGAAGGCCAAATTGAAGGATTGTCTAGGTCAACCTTTTTCTCTAAGCAATAGAGAACCATCAAAAGATTTTAAGGAGAGAAGTATCATGATTAAACATGAGTTTTAGGAATGCCACCTCAGGGGCGGTGACTAAAGGCACCAAAAAGAGGAAGAGACTGAAGCAGGGAGACAATGTAAGAAGCAACCACAAACACCCGGGGCGGGGGGGGGGGATGATAAAACCTTCAAGTTGGGAGGAAAGAGTTGAAAATGTCTGGAAAAGACACTTCTGAAGCAGAATCAACGGAGAGCTTTTGGTTAGTTCCTGGATATGAAGAGATACTTGATCTGTTAGACAGGGTAAGGAGTCAAGGATGAGTGAAGACAGTAAAACTTCTAAAGTGCAAGAGAGAATGAGACACAGCTTTTTGGTTTCAGAATTTCTCAATAAAATAGGAGAAAAACAAGCTAGTAAAGTGAGAGAGAGATAGATGAGGACAACCTTGCTGGGTTTGTCTGTTTGCTTGCTTGTTTGTTTGGGGTGTTTCTGTTTGTTTGAAGACTTTTAATGTCCTGGAGCAAGAATGCAGTAAGATATATAAAACAGAGTGGTGAGTGTCCATAAGGGCCCAGATCAAGTTAAGAAGCATGATTTGCAGTGAGGTCACACCAACATTGCTTCTTAACCTTTTCCAGAAGACAGTCTGGGAACAAAATTGAAAGGCCAGGATGCTATAGGATCCCCAACTGGCAAGATGAGCATGAAGAAGGCCAATGAACTGCAGAACTCTAGGGTGCCAGCCGAAGTGTGACTGAGTATAGAGCCCAGTTTAAGAAACACACATAGGCCATAAGCTCCATGAGGGCAGGGAATTTGTCTATACTGTTCTCTGCTGCTATATCGTCGGCAACCAGGGCAACGCTTGGCTTACACTAGGGGTGCAATAAATATCTATGGATGGATGAATAATGGACAGAAGACTGAAAGAGGATAAAGTTTAGGATAAAGAGAAGGAAAGCATAAGGAAGTAGGTGTTCCAGATAGTAAGACTAGTATGAAACAAGATTTTTGGTTAGAGGGCATGAAGAGTTCCAGATTTGAGGTCTTTATAAAGTTCCATGACCATGAAATAATTTCCACAGATTTCTGATACTAGAAATTTGAGTAAACCAGGCCACCTAAGTTACGGTGGCCTGGTTTACTAGTTATTAAAGATTTTTTATTTATTTATTGAGAGAGAGAGAATGGTAGAGAGAGAGCATGAAGGGAAGAAGGTCAGAGGGAGAGGCAGACTCCCTGCTGAGCAGGGAGCCCGATGCGGGACTCGATCCTGGGACTCCAGGATCATGACCTGAGCTGAAGGCAGTCGCTTAACCAACTGAGCCACCCAGGCGCCCGGTTTACTAGTTATTAAAGACTAATGTGACCATAGTTGTTTACTGCCATCTTTGATGTTGCTTAAGTTACCAAAAAACTTTAAAAGATACATTGCTATAGTTTAGTGTATAAATAAGTCAAGCATTAAAATTTATTCTTCAAAATGTACTTGTTTATAGCCTGGGGAGGACAATTTTATATTAAGTTATCACTATGATTTTCATGGTTTAATATTAAAAACAGTGTATTATGTACACGTGGAATCTTAGTATTATCTTACCATCTTCCAAAAACTGGATATCAGATGTGTCAAGATTATGATCTGTTTCAAAGAGCTGTTTCCCTAAAAGAAACAAGTATGTTTAATTCATATTTTTCCTATATGTTCCAGTTTCCCACCTTTCCAGTTTTCCTCCATCTTCCCTACAATCCTTTAAAAAGTAAAATAATCCAAGAAAACAGTCTAAAAACCGATTTTTCTATGAATTTCAATAAATTTATCAATTCAGTAAGTAGCTAAGAGGCATGTGACAGGTATCTGCATTAAAATGGAACAAGTGAAAACCCAAGTCTGCTTCAGAGCCCCAGAAAAACAAATACATCTGACTCTACCACTCTAACGCTTCTGATTCTGAATGTCGTGGTATAGCTGTATCTCAAGATCTATCCATTGAGATATTTAGATCAGAGATAAGCCATAAAAATTAATCATAATTATGAAGAAATGTCATCATGTAGGACAGAATGCTTTCTCTTTTTGTCCTAGATGCCCAAGTATGTTATGTTTTTATAGAAATCTGTCCAAATGATCCTCTTGTTGTGCAAGAATATAGAACAGCCTGGGCAGGGGAGAGGGGAGTCATACCACTTAATTTATTTTTTCCTGCTTGTTCTTCTTCTTTCATTCGTTTCTTTTTAATTTCCAAGAGTTCTGCATCAAACTTGGCCTTCCAACTTAAGAAATTCTCAATTGTAACAGGAGTGCCATGAAATAATTGCTTAGAAAATAAAAAAGATGTGGTTAGATAAATAAGCCTTATAATTTATAATAAAATTGTAATTTATAAAGAAATAATGTATATTTCTTGATCTAACCTGCATGAGCTCTACTAACCATTATTAATCATTACCCATGCTATGTGACCAGTGCAGTGACTTCTAACATCTTATGTAGCAAAATTTAAGTAAAATTTACTTTTATTTTGCGATTGCCAAAAAAATTACTGAAATCTCTAAAAACAAAAAAACCCACCAAACAACCAAAAAAAAAAAAGATGTAAAAAATAATGAAAGAAAACCCAGCTTTATAATATACCTTTTCAGCTTCCTCTGCCTCTTTTTCTTTTTGTTTCTTTTCTTCTTCTCTTCTAGTTTTTATTTGATCTACTATTTCATTTAGTTTTTCTTGCACAGCTGTCACTAAAGTAAAAATCATCACCATACCAAGGTTTTCTTCTGCCTATGTAACCAAAAGAAAGGTTGTAGTGAGAAACATACTTCTCAGAAAAACAAACAAACAAAAAAAACTAACCAATGAAAAAGTGTTTCATCATAATCACTAAATTCCATACATTTATAATATGATTACTAATTCAGTTACACCATAAGTTCAGACACCTGGATAAATGATCACTTAAGAATTGAGCACAGGGGCACCCGGGTGGCTCAGTCGTTAAGCGTCTGCCTTCAGCTCAGGTCATGATCCCAGGGTCCTGGGATCAAGCCCCACATCGGGCTCCCTGCTCGCTCCCCCTCCCCCTGATCGTGTTCCCTCTCTAGCTGTCTCTCTCTCTGTCAAATAAATAAAATCTTAAAAAAAAAAAAAAAGAATTGAGCACGTACATACATATATATGAATAACTATATATTAAATTTAAAGACAAGTAATTTGCTACATCCAACCTGAAACAGATATCTTTTTACTAATTTCTGTTTAATAACTAGAATTCAGAAAACCTTTTCCTTTTTTTTTTTTTTAAAGATTTTATTTATTTGCTAGAGAGAGAGAGAGTAGAGTACAAGCAGGGGGAGTGGCAGGCAGAGGGAGAAGCAGGCTCCCCGCCGAGCAAGGAGCCCGATGTGGGACTCATGACGTGAGCTGAAGGCAGACGCCCAACCAACTGAGCCACCCAGGCGTCTCCAGAAAACCTTTTCCTAAGAGCAACTAGTAACATGAGTTCTTCACCATATTTTCATGATTTAGATCTTTTGGGATATTTTAAAGAGCTGTGACAATGAACTGAACTTTGAGGCCAAAGTGATTTTCTAATATACAATAATAAAGAATATAGGTACTTTTGGTGATTTATCTTTACGTACCTTTTATTCTTCAATTTGAAATGGCTTAAAATCAAATATAAAAGTTCTCCAACTCATGAAAGGGATATACAGTTGACCCTTGAACAATATAGGTTTGAACTGCACAGGTCCACTTACATCCATTTTTTTTTCAATAAATACAGTATAGTACTATAAATGTATTTTCTTTTATGACTTTACTAATAACATTTTCTCTGCTTACTTTAAGAATACAGTATATAGTACATATACCATACAAAATATGCGTTAATCAATTGTTTACGTTATGGGTAAAGCTTCCTGCCAGTTAGTAGTAGTTCTGGGGGGAGTCAAAAGTTACACACAGGGAGGCGGAGCAAGATGGCGGAGGAGTAGGAGACATGGATTTCGTTTGGTCTCAGGAATTCAGCTGAATAGGGATCAAACCATTCTGAACACCTACGAACTCAACAGGAGATCGAAGATAAGATTCTGAATGTCGTGGTATAGCTGTATCTCAAG